CGTCTCATAGTGGGGCTGGCCATGTGGTCCTCTCTGTGGACTGGCTGCTTTATTTGGGGTCATCGTCCTCAAGGCCTGGTGGGCGATCATCATCTTCTTATTAAGAAGCTTGCTATGTCTATAGTCCTGGTCCCCAGTTTGGGAAATGAATCAAAGTATCTGATTTTGAAGCTTAAGGGGATCTCCTGGATTAATGACTTAAAATTATTTAAGAAACAATGCCCTATCTTTTAAGGAAACCTTAATTGAATTTAATGTGTAAAATCAAAAATTGACTTGTCTAGGTATAACAGTGGTGTGGTGGCAATGTTTGACCGTGGACTTCATAGGGCAAAAGGAGACTCAAACTTAGCATCAGCTCAAGGCTCATTCTTTTTCACCAACCATCCATCCCTCCTAGGCCACTCTCTACTTCTCCGCTGCACTGGGTGATTTATAATAAGCCACACCCAACTCAACAGGTTCTACTCATGATTAGACGGTTTATTGGATACCATGTGAAGTGCTCTGGATACAGTTCTTAGGTCAAGACTGCTGTGCCTACAAGTACACCTTGCAGCCACAAGGCCCCGTGGCCTCTGCCATGTTGGGGTAATGTTACAAAGCTCTTTTAGTTCTCTAATAAATGGAGAGTGGAGGGCACCCCACTCATTTTTACCAGTTTTATAGGTATATCATTCACATACATAATTCAGTAGTTTAGTCCTATTAAAAAGAGTTGTACAATCATCACTATGGCCATTTTAGAACACACCGCTCTGAAGTAAGCTTTGGCCGAAAAGTTCTAAAGTGTAGTTTCATGAGTGAGCAAACCTTGCTCCCCAAATGCCCAGGAGATACTCATTTCACAAGCAAGACTCCTCCCCAGTTTTCTCATTTGTTGGGCCAGGATGCCTCCCCACCCCCACCCTTTTTCCCCATCTCATGTTCTTAGTCTGCTGCTCCTGCTTCTCTGTGCCTTCCTGGAGTCATGGCTCTATCCCTGTGATCAAAGAATTTCACTGCAGCCAGATTTGGGGTCCAAAGGATTAGCCATCTGCTTCTGAGAGCAAACTGACCAATCCCCATGAGAGAATTCCATGTACCTTATTTACATGGTCCCATCCCTTCTGGGTGCCAGGTATGGTATTTATATTATAAGCAAGTTCTCCAAGTCCTCTTGGTGGGCCACAAACACCTTATATTTGCATCGTTTTATACAGTCATTTGATAGCAATTTCAAAGACTTCACCACTCTAGGTGCTGTTGAATAGAAGTTGCCTGTTAAGGGTGTTTACGTAGTAACCTCTTGGATTTGTACATACAGTTTATGTTCACTAAAGTACTTCTTGAAACTTTTTCTCATTATTATTTGAGATAAATAAAGTGAACAAATTTCCTAGATTAGGAAATCGGCTCAGAGAGCTCCTGACTGTATAGTAATCCTTAGTGGAAACAGAACTGCAACCCAGTTCTTAAATCAGTGTTTTTTAAATGCCCTTATACTGCTTGATCAGTAACACAGCGCTCATTGTGTTTGTTTGTTTTCTTTTCTAGGTTTCATTCCACCAGAAGGATTTTTAGCATTCCTGGTAACTTCCCTGAAAGATCTGTTACACTTTTGTGCAAAAGGTAGCTCAGAATCACCAAGTAGCTCTTAAAGAAACCTTTTGTGTGGGTTTTATACATAGATGTTTTCATGAAGAGGAGTGAAAAACCAGAAGGATATAGACAAATAAGGCCTAAGACCTTTCCTGCCAGCAGCTATATTGGCAACAGCCGGCAAATGTTGCAAGAAATTCGGGAATCTCTGAGGAATTTATCCAAACCATCTGATGCTGCTAAGGCTGAGCATAACATGAGTAAAATGGCAGCGGAAGATCCTCGGCAAGTCAGAAATCCACCTAAATTTGGGACCCATCACAAAGCCTTGCAGGAGATCCGAAACTCGCTGCTCCCATTTGCAAACGAGACAAGTTCTTCCTCCCGGAGTACTTCAGAAGTTAATTCCCAGACGTTCCAAGATTTGCACACTACTGGATTTGATGAGGTAACTTTTATATAGAGCCCTACAGGACCAGTGGTGTGAGTGGCGAAACAGGGAGGGTAAAGGGAGAATGGGTAGGAAAGAGGGAACTGATTACAAGGAACTGTGTGTGACCTCCTCCCTGGGGGACAGACAACCGAAAAGTGGGTGAAGGGAGACGTCGGACAGGGCAAGATATGACAAAATACCAATTTATAAACTATCAAGGGCTCATAAGGGAGGGGGAGTGGGGAGGGAGGGGAAAAATGAGGACCTAATGTCGGGGGTTTAAGTGGGGAGAAAATGTTTTGAGAATGATGTACAAATGCGCTTTACACAATTGATGTGTGCATGGATTGCGATAACAGTTGTATGAGCCCCTAATAAAATGTTAAAAAACAACAACAAAAACTTTTATATAAAGACTAAGTAGCAGTTCTCACTTTTAGGTGGCCTCATGCTTAGCGTTTCCTTTAGAAAATGTAACTACCTCCATGAAAGAGAAACATGCTTAACTTCATCCGGTAATTAATGTGATATAGTATATACACATTTCTGAATTCTATTAGCAGAGTACGTTGTGTATATAATTTTGTTAGATATTAAAATAAATAATTACTGTGTCTTTTGTTTCCTCTATTGTACCTGTCAGGAGCCCTGTAGGTGCAGTGGTTGACTCCTCTGCTAACCAGGTGGTTAGTGGTTCAAACCTACCTGCAGCTCCATGGGAAGAAAGACTGGGTCATCTGTTCCCATAAAGATTACAACCTAGGAAACCCTAGGGGGCATCTGACCTGCGTTAGGAATGCAACTACTTCCCCTGTGTCTGCCACCTCTGGAAAGATTGGAACAGGAGCCGTTCCTTTTGTTATAGTGACTGTGTGTTCCTGCCTCCTCTTTCGCCGCTTTCCCGTCACTCTGTGTTTTTTGTTTTTTTTAAGGAATCCTTCAAATTGCAACTTAAGGCTTGAATATTTTCTTCAGTTCTTTTAACCAAGGGTGTTTTCCTCTTGATTTCTAACTCCAACTCCTATGATATACATATCATTATAATACTATACTTGTCTTCTCTGGCTGCCCTTTTTCGTCATTATTTCTTCTTTGCTTTAGCTACTCTAGGCAAGTTTCAGAGTCTCTTCTGACATGCAATTTTGCCTTTCTCTTTTTCCTATCTTTTCAATGACTTTTTTCTTTGTTTGTACCATCCCACAATTCCTGTGGTTGTTGGTTATTCAAATATTTGCATTATGGTTTCTGAATTCAGGTGGGATATACTCAAAGTGGTGTTTTGCCTCTTGTGGACTTGTTTTAAACTTCTTCAGCTTCAACTTGAATTCATGTAGGAGCAATTGATGTTCTGTTCTTCACTGGACCTCTCGTTTTGTTCTGACCAGTGATACTAGCTTCTTTGTTGCATTTTTCACAGGTGTGGTTGATTTGATTTCTGTATATTCCACTTGGTGAGATGTATTTAGTTGCCATTTATATTGTTGAGGAAAGGTATTTTCCTTGAATAAGCCATTGTTCTTGCAAAATGGTATCCAGTAGTTTCTTGCCTTGGAGGTTTAGGTCATGGTTTCGGGGGACATGCCAGTAAATTAGTCTAATCAGTCTGATGCTTCTGTTCTGTCTCAAGTTTCCTGGGGTGTTAAAAAGCTTACAAGAGGCCATCCAGGCCTGGCAGTTGATCTCCATTTGCTTGGGGCAACAAAGGAAGGAGAGTCAGGAATGGAAGAATGTGGAATGTGTGGCTAATTGCCTTTATGAATAGCTCTGCCTTCTTTGTCACGAGTCGGAACTGGACGGTGCTTAACTAGCATTACTGAACATTTTGACCAAAGTTTCTGAAGAGGAAAGTACAGAAAGGAATTTTAAATTCTTATAGACTCCAGACTTTCTCCAATCAAGGTAGATGGGTGAACCCATAAAAAAAGTTGCCCTGAGATTATCTTTAAAACAGAAACCAAAAATATCCCTGAAGTCTTTTAAAAAATCAAACAATAGCTTAACTGGGAGGGAGAGGGGGGAGCTCTTTTAAGAGCTATTTCTATGACAAGAAAGAAGGAAAAAAAACTATATGGGTTCAAACTGACAGCAGCAAATTGAAAGATTTGATAGGAACTTTAGGGGACAATGAGCTCATTAATGGTGGAAGTACAACTTATAGAACATTGGAGAGAATGGTTACACAACTCAATTTCACTTCATTGCATGTGTAGCAAGGGTTGAATTTCTGCATGTTTTACCGTGCATATTCTCAAGGACACAAAATCACATGGCATAAAGGTCCTCAGGGGTCATGTGTCAGTACCCAAAACTGTGAGCCCATCCAGCAGGATAGGGATTGATAGCAGATTTGGTCACTCTCCTTCAACAAGTTAAAAATTACTTACGATGTAAATATTTTAAAGAAATCTAAGGCATTCTTCAATACCCTATCCTTCATCTCTTGGCAATAATAATAGTAATTACTTTCCTTACAAAGATGTCTCAGATTTATTTTAATGACATTTCAAGACTGTCACTTTATAACATTCTTAAAATCCTTAAGCTTGCTTTACTACAAGCTTTTAGGCATTATAAGCCTTTATTTGCACAATTAATAAACTGTCTCAGGTATGGTCTTATTTATGAGGAGTCTTGGTGGTGCTGTTGAGTAAACATTGGATTGCTAACCTCAAGATCAAAGGTTCAAATCCACCCACTACTCATCAGGAGGAAGGTGAAGCTGTCAGCTCCTGTAAAGATTTATAGTTTCGAAAACTTTCTTTTGAGTTTCTATGAATTGGATTCAACTAGATGGCAATGGACTTAGTGTTTGGTTCTGGTATTATTTACCTTCATGATGACATACATAATATGGTGGTCCATTTCTACTACCTCCTTTGTAGATTGCTGATATGTTTAAGGGACTAACTTAGTATTTCAGAATTCTTAGCCAGTTTCACTTCATTCTTTTTATCATTTCATAACCCCTGTTCTGTTCCTTAAATCATACCAAATACAAGCCAGTTACTTTTTTTTAATTTTTTAATGGTAAAATTCAAAGCTCACCAAGTTCAAAATTAATAGCCTATAGAAATTAATGTTAAATAAAATGATGCATTCTTCAGGCACACATTTCAGTCACTGGAGTGTATTTTTGCTTCTACCCATTGCTTTCACGGCCCTATAGAATAAGTAGAACTACTCCATAGGGTTTCTCTATGGACTCTAAATCATTATGGGAGCAGACAGCCTAATTTTTCTCCTGAAAAGCACTTTGATGGGTTTGAACTGTCAAATCTGTTGATTATCTGCCTAATGCTTAACCCCATGTGCCACCTTTACTTACAAACATGCTAAACAAATGTATAGTAATGTGGACGTAATGTTTCTTTTACATAAGACTTTTACATATAAGCACCAACACCTCCACTTAGTGAAGACTAGGATGGCATTGTTAAAGAGGTAACAATTATTTTAAAATATAAGAATTGTGAATATTAAAAAATAAAGACCAATGTAAAAATCATCAAAATCATTGATTCAAATTCCATATACCCACAGAAGCACTCACTGCCATCAAGTCAGTTCTGACCCACAGCAACCTGTGGACAGAGTAGAGCGCCCCTGTGGGTTTCAGAGACTTAATTTTTAATTTTTCTTGAGACTAAATCTTTTGAGAACAGAAAGCCTCATCTGTCTTCTGCTGAGTGGCTGGTGGATTCTTAACTACTGACCTTGTGGTTAGCAGCCCAATGTGTAACCCATTACACCACCAGGGCTCCATTAAGAATATTGTTACCATAATATTAAAAGCAGTAAGTCCCAACTACCTTACCAACTGAGGTGGCCTTGCCATATGACCATAGCATAGAAACAGTTACAGTTCACCTGACTGAGTCACTTGTAAAATTAAGTACTGCCTAACCCCCCAAAATCCCTGCTGCCATAGTCACTTCAGACTCATAGTGGCCCTACATAGGATTTGTTAGGTGTAAAACTTTATAGGAGCAGACAGCCTCAACTTTCTCCAGAGGAAAAGCCGATAGATTTGAACCACTGAATTTGCCGTTAGTAATCTAAACACTTACCCAGAGGTGCCACCAGTGTTTCTAGTGAATTAAATCATTTTATTGGGGGCTCATACAACTCTTATCACAATCCATACGTAGTGAATTTTTACTTGAGTGGTTTGCGTTTTAAAATTTGTACGTGAAAAAAAAAATTTGTACGTGAAGTAAGATCTATTGATTTCTTTTTCTTTTTTTTTTTTAACTATTTCAAGTTTGCAAAGTTTGACTGTTAGTATCTGGGACCATACTATAGTTTTTGTATCAACTAAACATTTAATTTGGTTGTTTTAACAAAAATCTAAATAGCAATGCTTTAAACAAGATAAGGAATCGATTTATATAGCTAACTTTGGGTTGATTTCTTAACTATGTTGGTGCCTAGGACTCTCAGTCTCTTGAATTTTCCTTCTTGGTGGTAAGATACTGTAGGTAGCACAGGTGTCAATCCTGTATTGTTGAGGAAAGAAAAACTAAGAAGAAGTACCTTGATTAGGTATTTCAGAAACTCTTTCTGTCTCATTTGACATAGATTCACTATATGATCACTGTAACTGTAAAGAAAACTGCTTCCAACCACATAACTTTTTCCAAGAAAGGGAGAATGAATCTTGGGTCAAAAGCAAATCGGCCACAGCCTTGCTCTGGTTGGTCTCACACTCATCTTCATCATTTACACAGCACTACGTCACTTTATAAAGTACAGTGTCTCATCTGTTCACTCTGTGCTCTTGCTCATTTTCTTAACTTTTTATTTTATTGGGAATTAAATGAAGGTTTACAGCCAGGTGAACAACCCATATGTGTTTTGTTCCAACTCATCCTTCGCAATCCCATCAATGCACCCTTACTTGTCGCACTTCCTTCCTGTGTTTCCTGTTGCTAGTCCTCCTCCTTTCCTATCCTTCTGAACTTTCTTTATCCTTGTGTAAAGGCTGTCCTTTTGATCTTAAATGGTTGATTATTTTAACATGGTGCTGGGGGATAGTTCTCCATCTGAGGGATGGCTAAAAGGCCTAGTCTCTGAGGGCCCACTAGTCTCTATCTGACCAGTAAGCCTAGTCTCTTTTATAATGAGCTTGGTTCTGCATTATTCTCTCATGCTATCCAGAACCTTCTAATGTGACTCTTTTCAGAGCAGTTGGTAGTGGTAGTTGGGTACCATCTAGTTCTTCTGGTCTCAGGGTTATGGAGACTGGTGTTTATGTGGTTCGATAATCCATTGAACCAGTTGTTTCCTTATGTCTTCTTTTCTCTAGATAGGGAGAGACCAATAGTTGCTTCTTCGATGGTTGCTCTTTTGAAATGTGTTATGTATACGAAAGGTTGTAAGGTTTTAAATGGAGCTAGAATTCAAACCCAGATCTGACAGAGTCCAGATCCTCTGCTTTTTTCATTATTTCTTTCCCCAGCCTCCTGAACTCTTCATCACAAAATTTATACAGCAGGACTTCAAAAAGTTTGTGGGGAAAATGCAGTTATAAGATAATGGAATTTTTCCATGAACGTTTAAAACCTGCTCATACATTGATTAAGTGGTTTTCTTCAGTTCTTTGCCCTATGTGTATGTTGCTGTAGGATACAGTTTTCTCTGAAAATGTAAGCTATAAGAGAGGAGGAACATGAATTAAGAGTTCTTTACCGGTATATGTGGTTGCAAAAGTGCTTTAACTATGCAAAATAATAAGGTTTTAGTGTTCTGATTGATACCTTCAGAAAACGAATAACCTGAATAAAAATGAAATTAAGAATGAGTAATAGTCATGATTATTTGGCCATAATTATATCAAGAAGATATTCCTAGAAGGAAACCATAATAAGGTACATGAAATGAGAATATTTAAAAACTTTTGAAAAAAAAAAACAAAAAAACTTTTGGAGGATTTGTTTTACTTTGGTAATTTGAGATGGTGTGGATTTTCATCATTGTTATAAAAAAGACATTTCTAGAACAACTGGGGCCCAATTCTTTACAATTAAACATTTCTCTAGTGCAGTGGCTCTCAACCTGTGGTTCACAACCCCTATCATTGTTATAAAAAGGACATTTATAGAACAACTGGGGCCCAATTCTTTACAATTAAACATTTCTCTAGTGCAGTGGCTCTCAACCTGTGGTTCACAACCCCTATCATTGTTATGAAAAGGACATTTATAAAACAACTGGGGCCCAATTCTTTACAATTAAACATTTCTCTAGTGCAGTGGCTCTCAACCTGTGGTCCACGACCCCTTGGTGTCAAATAACCCTTTCACAGGGGTTGCCTGATTCACAACAGTAGCAAAATTACAGTTATGAAGTAGCAACAAAAATAATTTTATGGTTGGGGAGGTCACCACAACATGAGGAGGAACTGTATTAAAGGGTCGCGGCATTAGGAAGGTTGAGAACTGCTGCTCTAGTGGGACTCGCAATGCTGTTTTTTCTTACTAGTTAAAAGAGTTAATATTTTTTCTTCTTTTTTAAATGTCATATCAGGATATGGTTATACAAGTTCTTCAGAAAACTAATAACAGAAATGTAGATGCAGCCATGGAATTCATTAGTAAAATTAATTACCAGGATCCTCGCCGGGAGCAGATGGCTGCGGCAACTGCCAGACCGATGAAACCAGGTGATGAATCCAACATGTTTCCTAGTATCTTCTATAGTATAGCTTTAAAACATTCATATATACCAAGTCTTTCTCCGTAGAAATTGTTAAAAGCTCCCCTGCAAGTGAAAGTCTCAACTTAGAATAAGAACACTATAGCATTAACACCAATATGAAGTTCAGGATGAGGCCCTCCCTCACAGGGCATAGATCCTTTGTCAAGCAGCAGTCTAGATTAAGAATTACTTCACTACTGTAGTGCAATTTAAATGTCTCATGTTTCCCACAAAGATCATCGTAGAAGCTACTCTTTGCTTCCTAGAATTTCGTACTGTGAAAATAAAACATGTTCCCCATGGACTGTTCAGAAAGTAGATAAGCAAAAAGGAAACATCACCATCAGTCCCTAGAGTGTTCTGGTGTGTTTGCTTACAGCCGTGTTTCCCGTGTCATGGATTTGTATGTCTGTGTTTTGATTCTTGTTTGTTTTTGTTTTTTCAGTAGAAAACAGGATCACACTAAGGCCTGCTTGAGTCACTTCCTGTACCCTGCATAATTTCCCATGTTGTTAAGTATTCCACAAAATATTTTTAGTAGCCACATTAAAATAGATGTATCACATAACCGATCTCCCATTTTGGGACATTGGCCCAGTTTCCATTTATTTTTCCCATTATAGAGAACACTGCAGTAAATAGTCTGGTGGCGAAATCTTTTTCCATTCCTGGTGATTTTGTAAAAGTAGATTTTAAAGGTCTTGAAAAATATTAAGGGTTCTGATGCCTAATACTAGCTAGAAAGGTAAGATCAATTTGTAATCTTTATCACTTTAATATGTAGGTGCATATGTGTCTAAACCTGGGGGTTAGGATTTTTGTCTATTTTTAATGGCTAAGGAAATGATGCCTTATTTTATGTTTATGTTTTATTGGTGAGACTGGATATTTATTATATTTAAATTACAATTTAACATTGCTTATTGCTTTTTAAAATATTGCTTCTTAAGGTTGTGTTTGCCTTTTATTGATTTATAAGAAATATTTATTAGTTATTTGTTTGGTCATCTCCCTTTTCGTTCAATAAATTTTTATTGATCAATTAGTATTTCAGACCCTTTGGCTTTGGTTATAACATTTTTTACCTTTTGTGGTGCTTCTATTCTTGGTCAGTTAATGAGAAAATACATGTAGAAGTACGACTAGATGACTGTGAATGAAGGCGAGGGTTACATGGTACTATGGACTCACTCACAGAATAGAGGTAGTTGTTTCCTAATGAAGGCGATCAGAGAAAACATTCCTGAAAGACTGATAATAGAGATGTAACATGGCAGGAGCTCACTCATCTTTGCCAAGAAATTTTGAAGATAGCTGCCTGACCAACAGATTGGAAGATACCACAAAAGAATGTAGAAATTTAAGCCAGAATCAGAAGAATATAGAACAAGGGGTTGGACTGTGGATCATAACAAAGTATAGAATGGAAATTCTAGAACACTTAATCTTGCTCATTTGGAACCTGTACTTAGGTTAAGAGACAGAACAAGGGCTGCATGGTTTAAAATCAGGAAAGGTGTGCGTCAGGGTTGTATCATTTCAGCATAGTTACTCAATCTGTATGCTGAACAAATAATTTCAGAAACTAGAACATATGAAGAAGAACACAGCATCAGGATTGGAGAAAGGTTCATTAACCTACAATATGCAGATGACACAACCTTACTTGTTAAAAGCCAAGAGGACTTGAAACACTGATGAAGATCAGCGACTGCAATCTTCAATATGGATTACATGTCAATTTAATGGTAGCAAAAATCCTCAAAACTCATTATTAAGCAACATCATAAACAGAGGAAAAAATTGAAATTGTCATTTTACTTGGGTCTATAATCAATGTACATGGAAGCAGCAGTCAAGAAATGAAATGACACTGCGTTGGACAAATGGGCTGCAAAAGACTTCTTTAAAGGGTTAGCGAGCAAAGATGCCACTGTGAGGTCTGTCCGACTGAAGCAGCAGATACTGAAATACTGAAGCAGGGTATTTTCAGACGCCGCAGATGCATGCGAAAGCTGGATAATGAAAGCAAAAGGCCAGAGAAGAATCGATGCATTTGAATTGTGGTGTTAATGAAAAATAATGAAAATACCACAAATTGCCAGAAGAACAAGCAAATTTGTGTTGGAGGAAGTACAGCCAGATGCTGCTTAGAAGTGAGGGTGGCAAGATCCATGTACTTTGGGCATGTTATAGGGAGGGACCAATCCCTGGAAATGGAAACTGTGCTTGGTAGGTCAGTGAGGAAGAAGAAGACTCCCAAGCAGCTGGATTGATAACAATGGCTGCAGAAGTGGGCTCAAACCTAGCAAGTATCGTGAGGATGGCACAGCACCAGGCAGTGTTTCATTGTGTTGTACAGTGAGTTGGGATGGGCATCATCTACAGAAGGCTATGATTAATGGTGGTGGGATTATGCAGAAGCACATCCTATGTACAGCTCCTTTGGCAAGGGTATGGAGGAAGGTGACAGTGGCAGGAGTTCTAAAATGAGAGTATTAGCTGTGGCTGTGGACACAGGGGTCTGGCTATGTAGGATTGTTTCATTGGTTTTATTTTTACCCCAAGAACAGCAGGAAGTTAGTGAATTGTTCCAAGAAGAGAATAATTACGATTGAATTTGTGCTTGAAAAAAAAAAGGTTGCAAAATAAAATATGGGGCGACCAGTGTTCATTGGTGGTTATGAGGAAGAGGGGGAGGTGAGAAAAGGATCCCTTTATATAGGAGAGACAAGTTATTTTTGGCAATGGGGAAAGTATCAGCGATTGTGGACATAGTATGCACAGCACACCCCGAGTAATGAGTTTTTGCGCACTTATGGATGGGTATAGGCACATTGGTATAGAGATGTGTGCATGGATGAGAACAGAGAGAAATATCTTTGAGTTTGTGTGAGGGGCTCTGGTGGCCCTGTTGGGTAAACATTGGATTGCTAACTGCAAGGGAGGTGGTTCAAACCCACCAGCCAGTTTGCGTGAAAAAGATGAGCCTATCTGCTCATGTAAAGAATTACAACCTTGGAAACTCTATACAGAGTTGCTATATCGGAAGTGACTCGACAGCAGTGGTTGGGTTTGGGTTATAGGTACATATAAATACAAATACTATTTTAAAGTAGATGCACACACATACATATCCATGGGAAACACAAATGTGAATCAGCAAACATTTTTTTTAGCATTGTCTTTCTGGGTTTGAAGGTGTAAGACCATGACCTCATGGGACAACTCAGTCAATTGACATAATGTAATTCACAAAAATCATAATCTGTATCCTAATGGAGTGAATAGTGTCTGGGGTCTTCAAAGCCCACAAGCCTATGGGTCTACCTTGTCAGGAGCAGAGCCTGAGCACAATGACAAACAGGTCTACTGGGGCCATATCTTTATCTACACTTAGGCAGAAGAAACACATGGAGCCTAGCTACCAACACTGACCCTTCTGACTAGGGCTGCAATAATTGGTGCTAGATAGAATAGGAGGAAAATAGTGGAGCAGAACTCAAATTCTTATTTAAAGAAAAGGCCAGACAAACTAGAAAAAGGAGAGAACAGCAGACCCCCTGTGGCACTCTTTAAACCCAGAACTAAGCCTATCTGAGATTCTTCTAATGAAATACTAAAGTGAACATAAACACTTATAAAGGAAACATCCTGTGAGATCAACACCCTACTGAAAAACCATCAGTGACGAGACCTGAAGGTCAGGAGTAAAGATGAGAAGGGGACTGGGACCCAACAATACTGGAAAAGGAACAAGCAGAATACAAAGAGAATGTTGACAAATTTTGATACCATTAATGCCACTGAACAGTTCACGTGGAGATTGCCATGGGGAGCCTAACTTGCTGTGTAAATGTTCTTAAAAAAAACCCTGAAACAAAGCCATATTTCATGGCTGCTGTGAATGAGAATAGAGGGGACATAGGGGCATATTTGGTAGGCACTACGGTAGTTCTTGGAGGCATTGAGGATAATTTAACTAGGGAGATGGCAGTGGAGGAAAATGAATTAGTAATTAGGCATGAAAGTGATAAAATTGGGGATAAATTACATATAGGGAATAGTGACAGATTTGGCCTTAGGAAAATGGAGGTAGTACCCTGTTAGATGCAAACAGGATTTAGTGGGGAAAGAAGCCCAAATCTGGTTTTAGTTTCAAGGTTGAGTTAGGGTCATTGAGTTAGCCAAATAGAGATGACGAGTAGGGAGCTGAGTTGAATAGACATGTTTCCAAGTTATATGTATGAAATAAATCATTAAAGGAAAAGAATGTAGACAAAAATGAAAAAGGAACTAAGCAGGCTTTAAAAAAAAAAAAAGTCAAACGGGATAAATGGCCTGGAAGTATGAATGGAGACCATGTCACTTTGTAGCCCAATTTATATTTAAAAGAAAATCTAAAAAAAAAGAAAATTTGAATTTTAAAGGGCTGCAAGAAAAATAATATCAAGAGAAGGTAACCAGCTCTCAAGAGATGGCTGGGAAGGTTGGAGAAGGGAGGAGTGATAGTGGCATTTGTCAGTTGTGGTGCAGGATGTCTAGAAAACATTGTGGGAGAGGGGACCAGGGTCAAAACATGGAAGATTTTATGGGCCGTATACAAGAACTGGATGAGTGATACGGTATTATTAGCCTCAGCTGACTGAGATTGGATGTAATCTTTCTGAGGACAAAGTTAACCTTCCAGTTTGTTGGTTGTTTTTGCTCCTGGTGACAAGCGTTTTATGTATTCGTCTCTACTTTTGTCTATTTGGAAAGGGAAGACCTTCTCTATCCCAGTATGAATGAATTTGCACCTGTTTTTTCCTAAGCCAAAAGTCATTCCTCTATTAACACCTCATATGAAAGTGCTTCCAGAAAACTGGAAATTTTTCATTATCTTTTCATTCCATTTTACCATGAACTTTTTGAAGCCAAAATGGTCAGTTTTACCCTTCTATTTCTTTTAACTCATTCACTTTTCCCCACTGCCACCTCCCCAGTTCAAAATGACCTCCATTCTCCAGGAACTGCTGGGTCCCCTATCAAGTCTACACACATCCACATTTTTATCCGCAGCTGCTAGTTTTTTTTAAGACACAAATTCCATCTGATCTAAAATAGTCAACTGGTATTTGTTACCTTCATGGAAGGAAGCTGGTTGGTTGGCTGAGAAATAGAGATGGGACTCCCTTGTGTCTCTTGAATTCTGCAGCACAAGACTGTTATTACCGAGTCAAAAATAACTAAACATTTAGAAGATAAAAATGAAACTGTAAACTGACATTTGATTTTTTAAAATAATTTTAGAAAGGTAATTGAATATTGTTTAGTAGTATCACAATTTAAACTTTTTTTCAAAAATAATAGGTTAAAAACGTGTTTTTTTCTCTCTCATCACCGTAGGGCTGGTCCAGCAATCAGTTAACCGTAAACAGAGCTGGAAAGGTTCCAAAGAATCCTTAGTTCCTCAAAGACATGGCCCACCACTAGGAGAAAGTGTATCATACCGTTCTGAAAGCCCCAGCTCACAGGCAGAAGGAGGAAGACCATTGTCGGGATCCGGGATAGCAGCATTTGCTCAAGCTCACCCGGGCAATGGGCAGCGAGTGAACCCCCCACCCCCACCGCAGGTGAGGAGTGTCACTCCTCCTCCTCCTCCAAGAGGCCATACTCCCCCTCCGAGAGGTACGACCCCACCACCCCACTCCTGGGAACCAAGCACTCAAGCAAAACGCTACTCTGGCAACATGGAATTCGTCACCTCTCGAATATCTCCCGTTCCCCCCGGGGCGTGGCAGGAAGGCTATCCCCCACCACCTCTTAACGCTTCCCCAATGAACCCACCCAATCCGGGACAAAGAGGCATGAGTTCGGTTCCTGTTGGCAGACAGCCGATCATCATGCAGAGTTCTAACAAGTTTAACTTTCCATCAGGGAGGCCAGGAATGCAGAATGGTGGTGGGCAAACGGACTTTATGATTCACCCCACTGGTGTCCCTGCTGGCGCTGTGAACCGGCAGCCACCCCCGCCGTATCCTCTGACCTCAACGAATGGACAAAGCCCTTCGACGTTACAGCCTGGGGGGACTGCCGCCCCCTCGTCATATACAAATGGAAACATTCCTCAGTCCATGCTGGTGCCAAACCGAAATAGTCATAACCTGGAACTTTATAACGTGACTGTGCCCGGACTGCAAACAACGTGGCCTCAGTCGTCGTCCGCTCCAGCACAGTCATCCCCGGGCAGCGGCCACGAACTCCCTCCGTGGCAGTCCAACATACCAGTGAGATCCAATTCTTTTAATAACCCATTAGGGAATCGAGCCAGTCACACTGCTAATTCTCAGTCGTCAGCCACCACCGTGACGGCCATCACCCCCGCTCCCATCCAGCAGCCTGTGAAGAGCATGCGTGTATTAAAACCAGAGCTACAGACGGCGCTCGCCCCGACGCACCCCTCTTGGATACCACAGCCAATCCAAACGGCCCCGCCCGGTCCTTTCCCTGAGGCCCCCCCTTCAGCTCTGACGGTTATGGCACCTGTGGTTGAAGCTCCAACCTACCAAGGCCCACCGCCACCGTATCCGAAACATCTGCTGCACCAGAACCCTTCTGTCCCTCCGTACGATTCCATCAACAAATCCAGCAAAGATGATCAGCCGAGCGGGCCCAAGGAAGATGAGGGTGAAAAAAGTTACGAACATGTTGATAGTGGGGATAAAGAGAAGAAACAGATTACAACGTCACCTATCACTGTGAGGAAAAGCAAGAAAGACGAAGAGCGAAGGGAATCGCGGATTCAGAGTTACTCTCCTCAGGCATTTAAGTTCTTTATGGAGCAACACGTGGAAAATGTTCTCAAATCTCACCAGCAGCGTCTGCATCGCAAAAAACAATTAGAGAATGAAATGATGCGGGTAAAACTTTTTAAATGTTCTGCTTTTATACTTGATCATCTATGTGCTTGGTGCTTACTTTAAATTGTGGTGATCGGGTTTTTTGAATTATGTTAGCGAAATATCACACACTTTTGAAAGTGAGTGAATGCAAAAGTACTTTTGGGTTATGGCATCTTAACTTTTTCAGGGTTTCCTTAGCATGTCTTAATAACTACAAAAAGTAAGAAATATTTTATAGTATACGGTTTAGAAGTGTATAACGCCTCTCTGTGGAATGTGGAACAAGGGCTGCTTCCTAGATTTTCCACGTTACCTTACAATATTTGAAAATTGCCTAGAAAGCTCTAGGACTCACCTCTTGATGCACTTAGAGACATTTCTTTTTGTTTCCAGTGAGTTTTTGGATTTGTGGATTGATCCATCAATTAGATCTTGTTTGAAAGTCTCTCAGAATCGTCTCCCTTTTGATATTGCCCCCTCTCATTTCTTTTTGTATTGTGCCAGAGATAAGATGTGCTGAAAATGCCAGACCATTCCAAAAAAGGAGATCAGAATAAGTAAAGACATGTTTTAGATTAATCTGTGTATGTTTCTAATTGATCTGGTGGTTATGAGTTATTATCAGCGTATTGTCATCATCATCATTTTTGTTTTTATCATGTGAGTAGATTGACTCCTAATCTTGTATCTATATCACTCCTAATCCAAGAGGCTTAAATTCTTGATTGATAGAAATTCCTCGTGTAAATGAGTCATTCTTTGTTTGTTTGTTTATATGGAAATACATTTATTTGATTTCATTTTTAAAAGATAGTTTTCCTGATTATAAAACTCTTGCTTGTCAATATCTATGAGTCATTCTTGACAAATGACTTTTCTAAATCTGAGTCCACAGTACTACTGTATATATCTGCTGTAAATTGAATTTTGTCAGATGAGAAAAACCAAGACAATCTGTATGATTAACGTGTATTTTTGCTCTTAGGATTTCTCACTAAAGTCTGTCTGTATGTATTTCTTAGTTTATTTTTCCTTTTTCCTCTTCACTTTCACTAATAGCTGATTTAAACTTTCATGGTGTTGGAAGCTTTGCTGACTTCTGTAGCCTCCATTACTGTGTAGGCAAGTAAGATTTTAAGAGAAACAGTTCTGTACTAAGACCGGCATGCCACCCTTCTTAAAGATTTTGCATGCAACTATGCGCATTCTAACAGAAGCATGAGGTTGCTATATTTGGACTAGTCTTGCATTTCTAGAATTAGAATCTGACTTTTCCAGTTGAATTGCGTTTCTACTCTTTTTTATTAGTTTCTGTTATTTAGTTACACCATCCCTGTATTCTAAAGCCAAGTATCTACTTAAAAGTTGTTTTTAATCCGCTTTTTGATACTTTGGTAACCAAAAGTTGCAAAGGTTTCTAAAAGACACTTTTGTGACCAGACTGCCTTTTTGTATAAGGTAGAAGACACTTAGTTTTGCTTTGCTTTAGTGAGGGGCTGGGACTCCGACTCTTAATAGCTATGCCTGTGAATGACTGTTGTCTATGGCATAGTGGACTATGAATTGAACCAACCATAAGGTCACTGATTCAAACCCACCAGTCACTTTGAGGGAGAAAGATGAGACTGCCTACTCTTGTAAAGATTTAAAGTCTCAGAACCCACCGGGGAAGTTTATCCCTGTCTGTAGGGTCACTGTGAGTCAGAATCAACTTGATGACAGTGAGGTGAGGTCTACATCACCACCATCACTACCACTCATTGCCACCGAGTCCACTCTGACTCACTCACCCTAGATAGGGTTTTGAGACTAAATCTTAACCAGACTAGACAGCCTCATCTTTCTCCCAGGGACTGCTAACGACCAACCCTAATGTTAGCCATGCAGCGCTTACTTGATGACACCCGCAGGGCTCCTTGTCTGTTTACAAGGGGGCTTCGAACGCTTTGTGGAAAGATTCCCTTATCTTTTGGTCTCCATTTTCCACAAACATTTTGAAGCTCTCTTGTATTAAGAACGGGGACTGGGTGGTTAGGGTAAAAGCCTCAATTTGATGCTTACAAGCATCAAATTTTGAGAATAAATGAATTCAGAGTGGAAGAGCGTTTTCATAAAGGATAAAATGGAAGGAAGAGGATTTGAGGCTGGGGTATTCCACAAAGAGAAGCAGATAGTGAAGGTGATCTAGTCATGTGATTAGGGTGAATATGCATGGATAGATGGGTGAGGATGCATGTTAACAGGTACTCGGTAGTACACAGTGGGAACTTTTTTTTTTAAGTGCATTAGAAAGGAGAGCAACTCTGACCACTGGCCTCCCCCTCTTGCTCCTGGCAAGCACAGTCTGTCTGTATACTCACCTTATAGAGCCCGTTAACTAGCCCTTAAGCTGCACTTTTGATAATTAATTTTTTCTGCGGTATATTCTAGACTTCTAACCTACTTTATTAAAAGTAATTACACATTTAACTTTTAAATTTATGCCTGAATTTTTCGAGCTACCTCTTAATATTCAATATAGAAAGACAAATTCCTCACTTAATCTGGAGCTTATTTTCCTAGGTTGGACTATCTCAAGATGCCCAGGATCAAATGAGAAAGATGCTGTGCCAAAAAGAGTCCAATTACATCCGTCTTAAAAGGGCTAAAATGGACAAGTCTATGTTTGTAAAGATAAAGACGCTAGGAATCGGAGCCTTCGGTGAAGTCTGTCTCGCAAGGAAAGTGGACACTAAGGCTTTGTATGCCACAAAGACGCTCCGAAAGAAAGACGTCCTGCTTCGGAACCAAGTTGCTCACGTTAAAGCTGAGAGAGATATCCTGGCTGAAGCCGACAACGAATGGGTGGTTCGTCTCTATTACTCATTCCAAGACAAGGATAATTTATACTTTGTGATGGACTACATTCCTGGGGGTGATATGATGAGTCTCTTAATTAGATTGGGCATCTTTCCAGAAAATCTGGCACGATTCTACATAGCAGAACTTACCTGTGCAGTTGAAAGTGTTCATAAAATGGGCTTCATTCATAGAGATATTAAGCCTGATAATATTTTGATTGATCGTGATGGTCATATCAAGTTGACTGACTTTGGCCTCTGCACCGGCTTCCGATGGACTCATGATTCTAAGTACTATCAGAGTGGTGAGTAAAATTGTAATCTGTGTTCTAGTTTGTGTCTGTCGAGCGGATTTATTAATGCCATGAAATGTAAGCTGGCACTGTCTCTGGGTCAGATCTTGACTGGGTAGACTTGGGTGCATTCTTTAAATCATAAAAAAAAAAAAAAAAAAAAAACTCACTCGCTGCCGTTGAGTTGTTTCCATCTCATAGCAACCTTAAAGGACACAGTAGAATTGCCTCTGTGTGTTTCTGAGATTGGCAGTCTTCACTGGAGGAGAAAGTTTCTTTCTCCCTCGGAGCAGCTGGTGGTTTCCAACTGCTGACCTTTTGTTTCACAGCCTAACTTGTAACCCACTGCATCACCAGGGCTCCTTTTCTCGATACTATCAGAGACGGGAGTGTAACACATAGTGATGCCTAAATACTTAGACCTCTAAAATTGAAGGATTATGTTAGATTTGGTTATTTCTAAGTATCATTAGCACTTGTCAGGTAAACCCTTTGTTATTTTGAAGTGCTGTACAAGTAAAAACATTTAAAAGATCATTATAAAAATATAACTTCACAACTACCATTCAATTTAAGAACTAGATTATCAATGATTGAAAGCACATCAACTATAAAAAATGTTTATAGCTCTGACTCATGCTAAATAATTCTTTCCCCTTCCTTTCTCCACTGAGATGGCCATTACCTCTGAACTTTGGTTTAACCAGCACCTGGCTTTTCTCTCTACTTTGGCCACATCTTTATCTGGGTGGTAAACTATGTATGTATGTATGTATGTATAAAATTCACTTCACCTACATAGGAACTTTTGTCTCTATCTGGGTGGTAAACTATGTGTGTGTGTGTAAAATTTCACTTTACCTACATATGAACTTTGGTTTAAATGTAACTTTAAAAAATTTATTAACGGGGAATTAATGCATACATAGTTTAATCACATCAAGCAGAATTGTACAATTGCTACCACAATCAGTTTCCAAATAAATGTAACTATTTTGTGTGTATTCTCCTATGTTGAATAAACTCACTCACTATCGTTGAGTCAATTGTGACTCATAGGGACCCTGTAGGAGAGGGTAGAACTGCCTCGATGGATTTCCAAGACTATAACTCTTTACAGCAGTAGAAAGCCTCATTGTTCAAGTGGAGCAGCAGGTGATTTTGAACTATTGACTTTGTGGTGAGCAGCACAACACATAACCCACTCTGCCACATCTCTGTTTATCTCCGTTCCACGGAACATTTATGTTTATTGCCTAGATGCTTTAGGTACATGACTTTATGTAATCCTTTCAAGGGGAAGCAGGATGAAGAAACTGAGGTTTGGTTTAATTAAAGTAACTGCCCGAGAAACCCCACGTGAGGTATGAGATGCAGGCTTTAAATCAGGTGTGTCTGATTACAAGGCCCCAGTTAGTTCCACTGTACCACATTGCCTTCACCAAGATCCAGTGGATGTTGAAGTGGTGGTAACATCTGCTGAGTTCTTACAGTGTACTAAGAAGCCTTGTTGGTTCAGAGGTTAAGCATTGGGTCTCTAACTTTGAATTCAGCAATTCAAAACCACCAGCCACTCTGCAGGAGAAAGATGAGGGTATTTGCGCCCACAGAAATGTATTTCCACTGGTGAAACATAAAACTTTCTTCTAGTTCTTTAATGCTTCTCTCCCCCAATCTCATAACCCCAATTCTACCTTACAAATCCGGCTAGACCGGAGCATGTACACTGGTACAGATGGGAGCTGGAAACCCAGGAAATCCAGGACAGATAAGCCCCTCAGGACCAATAATGAGAGTGCAAATATGAAGAAAGTAAGGGGAAGGTGGGGGGATAAAGGGGGGATCGATGACAATGATCTACATATGACCCCCACCTAGGGGAACGGACAACAGAAGAGTGGGTGAAGGGAGACAGCAGTTGGTGTAAGACATGAAAAAAAAACTTATAAATTAACAAGGGTTCATGAGGGAGGGAGAGTGGAGGAGGGGGGGAAATGACTGATTCCATGGGCTCAAGAAGAAAGAAAATGTTTTGAAAATGATGATGGCAACATATGTACAAATGTGCTTGACACAGTGGGTGGGTGGATGGATTGTGATAAGAGCTGTAAGAGCCCCCAATAAAATAATTTAAAGGGGGCCAGAAAAAAAATTTATTTCCATTGTTGGAAACCCTATGGAGCAGTTATACTCTGTCGTAGAGGATCACTCACTATGAGCCAAAATGGACGCAATGGCTGTAGGTTTGGGTTGTTTTTTTGGGGGGGCGGGGTGAGGATATGGGTGTCTGAGAGATACTATGTACTAGGTGCTTTGCTTAAGTTCTAATTACATACGGGCTCCCAACAATCCTCTGATGATTATAGGTGCTTCTGGGAACACAAAGAGATGAAGGCATTAGGATAGGATGGAACCATCGGAACCTACTCTGATAAGTTCAGCATAAAGCTGTTCATCTCCCTAAATTTCCTGGCTCGCTCAGGGTTCTTCTTTTAAGCTGCGATTCCTAGGCCTGACTCTAGTCTTCTGTTTGAAATTCTTCATGGAGAGAAGTCCATGCTCTGATCAGGCACCCAGGTGCATTCCATTGGGATGCGTTTTGAAAGCCTCTTTTCTAGGTTACTGCGTGCAGTCCTGTGGCTTTAAATGCTATTTCTGTGTCATTGAAGGAACTCCGGTGGGGCTGGTTAAACACAGAGCTACTAACCACACAGTGGTTCAAACCCATCAGCCACTCCTCAGGAGAACGATGAAGCTGTGTGTTCCCATAAAGATTTACAGTCTCAGTCTATGGCAGCAGGCTGGTTTCTTTTGGTTTAGATGTCATTGGGTCCCAGTCACTCCCTCTAGACCTAGATCATCCATCCCAGAAATTCCAGAAGTGTCTCCAACTGCTTACTGAAGAGCTTCACATAGGATGTTTTGTTTCTTTTTGTTTTTTCACATGGATTTTTAATAGACCTTTGATACTTTTAACATTCCTGAGAAAAGAACTCCTAATTTCTCACTCCCTGTCTCTTCTCCCTCCTGTCTTTCCCACTTGAGTAATTGTACCTTCACCACCCACATGGTTATCGGTGATTCTTTTTGTCTACATTCGTTCCTCATCAACAAGTCCTGTCTTCCTCCAAAAAGTGTACTGGCAATCTCTCTCCTTTGCCCCACGTCTAGCTCACCTGGACTAGCCTTCCACCGGTCTCTGTTTTCCCTCTTGTCTCCTCTTTCATCTCTTCTCCATACAGCAGCTGGAGTATTTATTTTTTGTTCTTAAAGATTATTCACATGCTGTCATTCTCTTGCATCAAACTCTCCAGTAGCTTCCCACAGCTGTCCCTGGGGCCCTTGGAGATGGCACAAGCAGTTTGCAGTTGACGCCAACGTAAAGACTAGTGGGCAGATCCACTCAGCAGCTCTGTGAGAGGATGATGGGCGAACTGCTTCTGTCAAGAGTACGGTCCAGAGGCATCTGGGACAGTTAGTTCTGCTCTGTAACACATGGGCCACCATGAGTTGGATTCAAATGGATGACAGTAGTTTGGGTTGGGTTGGGTTTAGTTTAGTAGTTGGGAGTAAAATACGGAATGTTTCGTCTTGCATTCAAAACTCATTTGCCCCCCCTTTTGGCAGCCATGCTAGACTTCTCCCTGTTGCTCCTGTTTCTGTGTGGAATGTCTTGTCCTGCTTCTCAAGTGCTGGGGTTCCCCTTGGTTTTATACACCTTCACTTAAATGTTACCTGCTTGTACTTCTTACCCGACAGCTCACTTAGATGGAATGGTCTGGTTATACTTATGACATCACACCATTTAAATTTTCCCAGTGAGACAAGGCACTGTTGCGTCTGTATGCATTTAGTGTTCATGTTTTTTCTCCTAGAACATAAGCTGTCTGAGAGAACACTGGCTTTCTAATTCCCTCTTGTCTGTTTTCACTGATATATTAGTTGAACGACTGAAATACTGATCAGCTGTGTGTAGCACTTTGTCTGCATCTTGATGAGGAGCAGCCAGAATAAGTCTCAATCTTACCTGCTTGTAACTCCTATTGTCATCATTTAATAGTAAATAAATTACGGACTCTTAGCCTGGTGTTTCCAATGTGAGGTTATCTTACTGGGATCTCAGGGAGCAGGCTCCAGTGAGTAATTAACGCCATTGGGGATTTGGCATATGCTGTGCCTTAGCTTGTCACAGAGGAGAACCTTGCTAACTCCAGACTAGGATGTTAAAAAATAAGCCGAAACTAGGATTGCTCTGTCCTTGCCAATTCGATTGTATCTTTTTGCCATCCAGGTGACCATCCACGACAAGACAGCATGGATTTTAGTAATGAGTGGGGTGACCCTTCCAACTGTCGCTGTGGGGACAGATTGAAGCCACTGGAGCGGCGAGCAGCACGTCAGCACCAGCGGTGTCTAGCACATTCTTTGGTTGGGACTCCCAATTATATTGCCCCGGAAGTGCTGCTGCGCACAGGTAAAGTGCTTATTTGGGTCATAATCTCGGTATACTTTTAGACGAGTTTAGACTTGTACTAGAATGGACACTATTTTCAGGTTCATAGTAAAAACTATTGTTTACAGAATAAACTGGTGATTTCCTGTTGGTTTTGATTTTATGAATCCTGAGTGATGTTTACCTTTGTAATTTTATTGTCTGACTGTAGGATATACACAGTTATGTGACTGGTGGAGTGTTGGTGTCATTCTTTTTGAAATGTTGGTGGGACAACCTCCTTTCTTGGCACAGACACCTTTAGAAACACAAGTGAAGGTAAGGCTTCGACTCTGGCCAGTAGTTGCCCCTTGTGAGGAGGTGGACCTCTTAACCACTACCTAAGTCCCGGCGAATCACCTCAACTCCAGTTACAAGAGCCATGATAGTGCTCACAGCCTTTGATCCCCATGAACAATATAGCTTCTCAGTACTTAAAGAAAGAATTCATATGAAGAAAAAGATCTGCCTTGGAGGCAGTGGATTGTGGACAGTGGTAGTGAAAATATAATAATGAAAGTGACTATCAGGGGGTGCCCTGGTGGTGGAGTGGGTTACGTGTTGGCCTACTAACCACAAGGTCAGCAGTTGGAAACCATCAGCCTCTCTGAGGGAGGAAGATAAAGGCTCTCTGTTCCATCAAGATTTACAGTTTTGGAAACCCACAGGGTCTGACCGTGAGTCAGAATCGAATCAGTGGTAGGTGAGGTGTTTTGTTTGTTTTTATAATGGCTACCAACTGGTGAAAATGCAGGTGTCTCTTAGGACTGAACCACACATGGGAACGTGATGGTTGCCTCGACCACAATAGACTAGTGAGAGCAGACCCATTGAATTGTAGCCTTAAAATCTTGACAGGTGCTTGAACCAGCTAAATGAGGACCCTGAGAAATGAGTAATAACAGACAGATTGGGGAAGAGCATAAGAACATGAAGAGCCACCAAGCCTGGTGGTGAGTTTACCACGCTTTCCTCATTGACATCCTCAACCTAGGCTCCTGGTAGCCCAACAGAGTAGAACCTCAACCCCGACAGCACATGTTTCAGGAGTGGGGAAGGGCTTCCATGGCAGAGGGGATGGCAGTACGGGCCTGTCAACCACTGCTCATGACTCAGGGCTCTGTAGGACCCAGCAGAACTGCTCCAAAGGGTTTCAAAGGCTGTAAATCTTGATGAAAGCATGTGCTCGCTTTGGCAGCACATATACTAAATCTTGATGAAAGCAGAGTGTCACATCTTTGAGTTAGAACCGCCAACTTTTCTCTGAGCCCAACACTTAACTTTAAGGGCCTGTAGGTTCCGGAAACTCAGATGATTACACAGTAAGTGGTGCCAAGTGGAGGGGCAAATCCCTGCTACGTTTCTTTCTTTCTTTCTTGGTCTTCTTGCCCAGAAATCTGATTTAAAAGGCACAACCACAGGGCATGTGTGGCAGAGGGGGGTGGTAAATAAAAGGCTCACCTTCCTGGTCAGAGATGCCTCAACAAAAAAACAATGCACTAGCCTGGAGTCATTCCAATTCACAGTGATCCCACAGGACAGGGTAGAGCTACTCACCTGGGTTTCCAAAACTGCAACTCTTTTTTTTTTTTTAACATTTTATTAGGGGCTCAT